TGAATCCAAGTAGTTTGATGACATTTAGTTCAATTTTATGAAAGCAAAACTATTTCTCTTTCCTACCAAATAGCAAATGCCTATCTTTCCATTTCCCTTCCTTTATTTTTGATACCTCAGAGCTCCAAAATGTACACATATGTCACTGGGTAGGGGGGCCCACCAGGTTATGTAGTAGATAAGGCACTGGACTCCATGTTGTTGGTTCACATAGTTGACCACAGTTTGAGTCTCAGACCCAGTGGCTTGAAACTCACATCAGCGTGTGTGTTTGCCTGAAAACCCAAGAGGAGAATGGAGGAGAACAGACTGAGGTGTTGCCATCCCTCCAGAAGTGTGATTTTTCACTGTCTCCCCACCAGCACACACGTCCTTATAGCAAAGATCCCTCTCTCAAAACAAAAACAAAACCACACACACACAAATGCCTCATGGGGTACATGTCACCTAACATTTGGAAAAAGACTACTGAATTGTATTATGAAAAAGTCATTGTCCAATTTATTCCTTCTTGGAAAGACTACAGGATTCTATTGTACAATGTTATCTACTTTGAAAAACACTAGGCCAGCCCAAACAAAGCCTAGTGAGGGAGTTGGATTCCATATGGCTGACAATTTAAATCCCAACTGTAGCAGCTTATAAAATACATTAGGTGCATGGTGTGTGCCCCAAATTTCAACAGGATGGAGAAATGGAAAAGGATGCAGCATAACCATGCCCAACTGGAGGGTGCTTCTCCTCCTCCCTGTCCCTCTCGGGTGAGTGCACAGTGAAACACACAAAAACCCACATGTAAATATGTATCTGTAAAACTCTGAAAATGGCTATTAAAACTGCAAAATTGTTTTCTAGTAAATAACCTTATTCCAGTAAGTGAACAGCCTATGATTTTCAGCTTAAACTCTAACTCTATCTAGCAGTTTTCAAAGCTCAAGGCACATATTAATATCATCAGACTACGGAAGACTCAAAAGGTGCCTAGTTTCCTATCTTGCTCCTACTTAATGGCAGTATAAGGCATTTCTGAGGGATGGAAAGATAAAAATCAATGCACATCAAACTATACCTTAAAACTGCCCCCGGCAAATAAAAATGTAGAGTGGCATAATTAAATTGAACTCAGCCAAGTTAATTGAATTGCTATTAAGATTACTCAACTACTACTGCCAATTGTTACTAATGTTGGACATACAATTCTACTGCTTCCTCTCAGGCGTCCTAAAAGCAGAGGAAGCCATTTTTTGCCTATACCTGTGACTTCCCGATTTTTGAGTCTTTGAATTTTGATGGCTAGGGTGGACTTCCTGTCCCCTTGCAGGAGAGGAGAGAAGACACAGAGAAACGATACTTTAAAGGCTTCTTGGATCTTTAAATTGAACATAAAAGGTTGAGGTAACTAGGACACAGAAGATAGTCAAGGTATTTTATCTTCATTCTCCACAACCCTATGGGGTATAATTGAGTACAGTTTTCTCACTGCAATTGAGTTATTTCCTCAGGCTATGTAACTATTAAATAGTAAAACCATGGTTTGACTAAAATCTCCAGTTTCAATGGACTTTCTGGTACGCATTTTCCCATTTTGATTTTTACAGTCACATGCGAGACAAAAATTACCCATTTCTGTCTGTATCTTGTAGGTTTACGCAGAAGAGTATAAGTCTCACTAGTGTTAAGGTCCTCTCCAACTACTAAGACAGCTTTTGGTCTAGGCATCTGGCAGGAAAGGCAGATTGCGTTAGTACACTTACTGCAATTTTAAATGAACAACACAAATAAGAACCCCAAGTTCTTTGGCATGAAAAGTGCATTTTGTGAAGAATATGCCAGTGAACATTTCCCACAGTAATGTTTCATAACTCCCATAAAAGTAACATGGCCCCTGTTTTGTCTGCTAACTAGTGTAAATTAAACAACTGATAAACGTCCATCAACAGAAAGGGTTGCTAAAGAGCTCTTTCAAAGAAACTCAACTCTGGAGATTAGCTGCTATGGGGTGGGGGTGGGAAGGGAGGATATTTTCTTAGGTATTATAAAACAAGTGGTCCATATAATAAAGTCTGACTCATCATGGATGCTATCAGAAAATAATATTTATCCCTCAAAGGGATCACCTGCTTATTTTTCTCGAATAATTCTTTTAGAAAGCAAAATTCACAAAAGGTTAGAGTAATAAAAATTACTATTTTTAAAATCATGTGTGACCTTAAAATATAATTAAAGCACACTTTTACAAATCATGAAATACAATGGTTCAAACAATTTTCTCATCTAGGATAAACATCAGTTCTCCTAAGTTTTATTCTTCTATTTTATTAGAAAAAGGAAAAGGCAATTTTTATATAAGATGTTTCTAGAGTCAAGAAAAGAGTGGGGGAACCAGCAGTTAGCGTAATGGCTATGTCGCTGGACTCCCATGTAGTCGACAACTGTTCGCATCCCGGACCGGGTGGCTTAAAACCCACGCCAGGTGCGTGTGCGTGAGTGCCCAAGATCCCTAGAGGAGAATGGAGGAGAAGGGATTGCGGCGTGACCATCCCCTCTGGGGGGGTGATTTCTCGCTTTCTGTCTCTCTGGTGAGCGCACGCACCCTATAGTAAAAAACCTCTCCAAAAAAAAAAAAAAGAAAAAAAAGAGAAAAGAGTGGTAGGGGAATGAAAGTTATCTATAAACAACTGGATTTCTCCAGTTTGAAAAAGAAAAAGCCTTGGAAAGTTAGTAGTGATGCTACTTAATTCTACTATCCTCTTTCTGCAAAGAAGCTCATTTATACAAATTTATATTTAGAAAAACTTTCATTTACCTGAATTTTTAAAGTGGAAATTTCATTAGGCTCTGTGAGAAGCCAATGCTATTCTAAATGGATATGATGTAGGTAATGACCAATACCAACCCCCTTAATCATATCAACATAAAGAAGCTACTTAGAAATAATTCAGTCATTACCACCCACCTGTTTTAATATTTTTCCTCCACCTTAGTAAGGAAACTAAAGGGAAATTAAAACTGCCAGTCTCTTCCTAGTTAAAAGTCCTGACAATTACAGAAATTTTACACTTTGTGTGTGGAAAACATGCAAATACCTACCTGAATATGCAAATAAAAGCTTGTTAGTAGAAGGTAAATGCTACCACATCTCCTTTTACTCTTAGAATTGACTTTTGTCTTAAGGGAAATTAATTTGTAACATACCCTTTGAAACTAAGGTAAAAATGATCTGATCAGGTGTAATAATTGGAAAAGAAATACCAGATTGAGCAAAATTCAATATGTACACAGATACTAATTAGTAAAAAGAACAGGAAAAAGCCCAATTCATTTATTAGAGATAAATCATTTTCAAATTTTAAATATTCTCATTACCTTAGCAAACTGCAAGATAAACATGCCATTTAGCCCCCAAAAAGGGTGGTATTCCTTTTATATCTTAAAAATTATAGCTGTTGTTGTAAAGATTTCAAATAAGCCAACAACAAACTATGACACCCAAAGCTGATGATGACACATGAAAATGACTGACCAAGCTCACTGATAAGAAAAAAAAAAAAAAAAAAAAAAAAAAAAAAAAAAAAAAAAAAAAAAAAAAAGCTACTACAATATTATTTAAAAAGTCACCTTAAAGAAAATACCACCTGAGGAAAATACAATTTTGGGACTCATGCTATTCCATTAGTAAAGACTAGTCATAAAAAAATGATAATACTATTACTTTTTTTTTTTCGAGAAGCTTTCGCTACAGGGCGCATGCCAGACAGAGACATAGAGACAGAAAGCGAGAAATCACCCCCCCAGGGGGGATGGTCACGCTGCAATCCTTTCTCCTCCATTCTCCTCTCGGGATCTTGGGCACACACGCACACGCGCCTGGCGTGAGTTTTAAGCCACCGGGTCCGGGACACAAACCATGGTCGATTACATGGGAGTCCAGCGACATAGCCATTACGCTAACTGCTGGTTCCCGATACTATTACTATTTTAACAAAGACTCCAAACACACAACCACATCATACATAACCCTATATTGTTCATTATAGCAGTTCTACCATGAATAAGGTTCAACTAAGTACTACAACCTAGACTTCCATTTTGAGTCCCAGATTCAGTTACCTTTCCAGAAAAATTAGAATACTGCCTCTCTTTTTACATACAGACCTCTACCATACTGAGAACCACTACTGTATGAAGTCCTGAATGTAAGTGCATCTTTGAGTAAAACATTTTAATATTATTCCAAAAACTTCATTTAAAAAAAAAAAAGCATTAATGCTTATGAGCTGTTATATGCTAACTGGATCTTCTAGTTCATCCTCAAATGTAAACTTTGATGAGTGAGAAAGCCGTTAATGTATACGATATTAAAATTAAAGCAAATTAAAGTTTAATTCATTTAAGCTTTAGAGAAGCACAGTGCCTTAAAACAGTACATAACTATTTATAACACTTAACTAAACCTGAAAAATCAAGTCTGAGTTACTCATCACCTTTCATCTTGTCAATGTTCAAAGCTGACTTCCAACACTTAAATGCGGAAGTGGTGGAAGCAACTGTAAAGCCAGAGTTTGCTGCATGAGTGACTCATTAATGTTATCGTGGCTTATCCAAAGAGGGTACCTACGCCTAAAACAAGTCTATTACACCTCTCTTACATCAAACAAGACATCTAAAGGTTCTGTACTACAATATCACTATTATAAACAGTCTAACCCTAACTAGAGTGGTATTATCATTAATCTTTTTCAATTATCACAAAATACACTACCAAAGTCCATTACTTTTTAGCAGAACTCAACTGCTTGATGATGTTGTTCAATATATCTTAGATTAATTATCTACAATTGTTTTTACATATTTTTAGTAATGACACCTGAAGACTTCTAAATTTAAAATGCCCAATTCTTAAAAAGAAAACCAAAAAAGAAAAAGCTGAGGTAATGCAACTGATAGTCCTTACATAAATTTACATTAAATGAAAGCTAGACCAAATGTGTGATTCTCACCAGTACATCATTGCAGATATCTCTTAGCTCGGTCTCAATTTTCTCTCTGTACTCTCGAGCCATCTGCTGTTTTTTCTCAGCACCTTCCGTCTTTTGCTCAATACTTGAGACGACCCTCCAAGATGACCTACGGGCTCCTACAACATTTTTATAAGCAACTGAGAGAAGATTCCTCTCCTCGTTGGATAATTCAGCTCCTTGCTCGGTTACAGACTTCATGCAGGCTGCCATGTCATCGTATCGCTCAGCCTGCTCGGCCAGCTTGGCCTTCTGCACCAGCTCATTTTTATCCATGACTGGATGTTCTGCAGGAGGAAAAAAAGATATTTAGGTATTTTTTTCTTTATTAAAGTAAATCCTCAAATTTATACTGTGTTGAATAAACTATATGACACTTCAAACCCAGCATCCTGTGGAAGATTCGACATGTGAGGAATTATTAAAATACACCCTTCACAAAAGGATGACCAGAAAAGGGAAAAATATTAGCACACTCAGCCCGCAGAGGTAAATTTACAACCATTAATTTTTTAGTATATTAAAATAGCATACTAAAAGTGCATTACCTCATCTCTGTTCAGAAGATCCTAATTTCACATAAGGTCAAAGCACATTTGGTCAAAAGGCTGCCTTAAAACCACCTCTTATCTTACTTGGCTAAAATCTCAACTCATTTCCAGTATCACTAAGAGATAAAAAATTAAGCAGCTTTTCTTTTTTTTGATAAAAACACTGCCTACCAAGAACAGTACAATTTCTATTGGGCTTCCAAAATCATAATTCATGTAGGTTTAGAGTAGTTCCTGTCTCTTTACTTTTTGTATATTTTGTATATCAGGAATGATTAAATTTTAAATAGTTGTTATTACACCATACACATATACACCAAATCTACAGATCTTCAGATTTGTCAGCTGATCTACTATGAAAATTTTCTAGGAGAAGCAGCCAAATTGCTTGTTCTTAGACATTCTGAATATAAAGTCAGCACCATGGCTAATTGACCCTAAGGCCTCAACCTGTCCATACCTTGTTATACGCTTACAAGCTTAAAAAACACCTACTAGAACTTCAACTCTGAGAACACCAAAATATGTTACATTGGAACAATGAATCTGTAAGTGTTCCCAATGTCACTGTTTCAGTTTAAATGTAGAATTCCTGCATTTGTCTCAGTATATATACTCATAATTTGACTATTACTCAGCTGCCCTTTACCATGACTTCTCACCTAATTCTTTTTCTCACATTTTAAAGTTGCCTAGACTTTTCAGTGTCTTCCAAGGTATCCTTTGGGTAGGTGCTAAAATAGCACAAAATACTAAACCACAGAGATCCCACAGAATAAACGATTTAAAAGAAAAATACACAACCTGAAGTGCATTATTATATGAAGAGCCATTGTCACCCACCAGGGGAACTGAACCCCCCCCCAATCTCTTTCCTTCCTGGGGAATCCCAGAATTCCTCCCCCCCTTTTTAAACGAAATGAGAACAGGTCCCTAGTATTCAAACAAGTAATCAGTTAGCTGGATGTAAGGCGCAGTTTTTGAATACATATACTAGTTAAATTTGTGATTACATATTTCCTCAAAATACAGCATTTTTTTTTCCCCACGAGCTCAGAAACGCTGACGTACATGATTTAAAGCCATACAAAGGTTTCTTTCCCCGACCACTTCGGTACAGGGGAAGTGGATTAGGTTTCTCACAGAATACCCAATGCTCCAAGGCCTCGCCATACTGCAGAAAGAACTTGCCGCACCCATTTAACCCTTAGCTGACTTAAGACTTCGGGCAGGGTGAAACGAAAAGCAGCGGACCGTGACTTTCCAGAGCAAATCTTTCCGTCCGCGCTATTTGCAGCCACCCCCCTCCCGTGGCTCCGCCCAAGCTTGCGCCTCGGCACTAGTCCCCGACTCTCCCTCTTTGTCATGGCGGATCTGTGTCAAGGAGCCCAACCTACTGCTGAGTGTTAATTCCCCCCCCCCACCAGAGCCAAGAGGGAGGAGCAGCACGCGCCCCCGCCCAAGCGGGAGGGAGGTGGGAGCCGCCCGCCCGCCCGACCCCGGGGCAGAGACGCCAGCGCCGCCGCAGGAGCGGAACC